TGACTACAGTAACAGGGAAAGAAGATGCATTTTCCAGCAACATTTCAAAGAAGAAAAATCTTATCAATTAACTGTTATAACTAAAAACAAACAAACAAACAAACAAACAAACTGTTGGCGCTCTTTATACCCTGAGTGTAAAACTCAGTGTTCTGTGATTAACTAAGAGATGTTTAACAGTACTGACACCACACTGATAGCGCACAGGCCCTTTCATCATTAACCTCAGACAGAGGAGATGCTTCAGTGGGTAAAGTGCTTCTGTATGAGCATGAGGACCTGAGTTGGGATGCCCAGGACCAACATAAAAAGCTGGGCATGGTGGCATGCACTAGTAACCCTGGTACCAGAGTGGGAGACACTGGGTTCCAAGGAATTCACTGGCTGGCCTGTCAAGCTGAACAGGAAGCAGCTGGTTAAGGTAAGACCCCATCTCAAAGAAGGTGGAGGACAGTGATAAGGAAAGACACCTACCTACATCACCCTGCAGCCCCTAGACACGGGGAAGCACAATACAGTGGAGGTGGGGGTATGTTTGCGGTGTAACCAATCTGAGAGAGCAGGTCCAGTCTCTCCCAGATCACAGCTGAGAACACTGAAATTCTGCAGGGCTAAATCAGGATTACTTAGTTTCCAAATAAAATCCCCAAGGAAGAAAGAGGGTTGAGTTTCACTCTGAGTGATCACTTTATCTGAAGACAGAGCCACTGAGCTTTCCTGGGTCTCTAAAGAGGGGGTGTTCCTTGTAATCCTACACTAACCCAGGCCTCAGGCATCTGACAATCTCTGCCGCCTTAGGAATACAGGAAGCCACAAGGGTAACAGAACAGCGGTTCTTCCACCGGCTGACAACGAAGTTACAGGTAGCTAACTCGGTTTCCAGTTTACTCAATAAATAGAAGAGGGTCAGCCATGTCCCTCAGTGCAGTGGCAGTGGTCCCCTCCAGAGCCTGGCTTGCCAGTGTCCCAGGTCAATACTATTCCCCAAAACCAAAGCAAGGAAGAGGACAGTCTTGTTCTCACAGTCACATTAAGAGCACAAACTATTTGCAAAGAATAAATGTCATCCAACCTCCCAAGATGAGGGAAAAGAGCAAAGAAAATATGACCTGGGAGCCAGTCCCAGGTGCTGGGAACTCCGAAGATAGCCATCTCCTGTCTCAGGACCAACCAGAAGACAAGACACTTTGTGCTTCTTTCTGTTAAGGCCGCTCTGATTTCAAAATGCACCACAGTCCAAGGGTAGGGCTGAATGTCACACCACCTTTCTCTGGATGAATGTTAATTTGATGAGAATTATCTTATCCTGGCCCCCATTGAAGTAAATCAATTTGTCTTTGTGTCCACAGAGAGCTGAGAAGGACAGTAGTTCCACTTTATATAAAGACCCTGGGTACCTTACAGGTAGCAATGGGTATCACTTTCAGGAACATGAACCACCAGTCAATGCACTAGAGACAGAAACTAGAGCCCAAGGTTCAGAGAGCCTGAATGTGAGTGGTTCTGACCCCACCGCGTCCACCCCTAATAAGCATCTCTACTCTGTTTTGATGGCTCTAAGAGAACAGAGTGGCATTTCATGTGCGCTCTGATGGCCCAAAGTGAACATGTGTAACTCCAGCCCTGCTCTCTCCTGCAGGAGCCAGGGTATCCACAAACCCTTGTTCTAGAACAGGAGGATGGAACCAGATCTCCAATGAAAGAACATGGGAGTCTGCTGTCATCTCTACTGACTTACATTTCTCCTCAGAAAAGGGTTGCTGTAACTATGGCCACACATACATTTTCTTTTCAATTTCAAGTTCCGTTGGGTCTCCAAAGTCTACACTCTACAAAGAAGAAGTTACTCTGCCCAACAAGGTTACAGGGTACTCAGGGTACTGAGGGAGGGTTCCCACAAGCAGATTCCTGTTCCCCAAGTGTCTTACTGTGAAACTTGTCTCATTAAATAAGGGTAATGTCCTCCACTTCAGCCTGACAAATGGATTCCAACTGAAATCAATCTCAGTGTATATTCACCCATAAAGAGGACTGCAAAGAACTATAGCCAACCATGAAAAGATGAAATTTAGAAGACATTTAGTTCACGGATCTCAAGATTTGATAGTTAGTCTAAGAAAATACTTCCTTATGAAAATAGAAAACAACCACAAAAGGCTACAAGGAAAGAACACCAAGGTCTTGTCTGTATGTTATCAGCTGCCTCCTTCAGACAGGACATCACAGACTGGACTGTCACTCACAAAAGTGGAACTGGGAACAAGAAGGCTCACCAGGCAAAGACACTTGCCATCAAGTGTACCAGCCTGAGGTTGATCCCTGGAACCCACATGGTGAGAAAGGCAAAACAACTCCTGGAAGTTCACATGCCCATGGCGCACCACACACACACACCACACACACACACACACACACACACACACACACACACACACACACACAGAGTGAATGAATGAACGAATGAATGAATGGATGGATGGATGGATGGATGGATGAATGAATATGAATATGAATATGAATATGAATACACAATGGAATAGAAGGTTTGGAGTAATGATGTTTAAATAAATTTTAAAATAGTGAAATAAAACAGTAAAATGCTCTATATTTTGAGAGACAGAATGACACTGGAGTATCTTAGTCTAAAAATCAAATGTGGGGAGTTTAATTCAAGAACTCTAGGCACAACTTGTTTGTTCACATACTACTAAGACCTGGCCCCGACTTAAGCAGCACCCAGAGCTTCTAGCTCTTGCAGCAGCCACCAGGGAGCACAGACTTTGCTCCACTGCCCTGGTTTCAAAGCACACGAGAATCACAGAAGTGCAGGTTCTACAAGGGCCAGAAAACCGTTAGGGCCATTTTCTTTAAATGCTCCCATTTGTCAAGGGGAAAAAAAAAAAAATACCTTAGTATTTATATAAAATGTACCCACTTATTAAAACTCTTTACTAAATGTTAACAAAATAATACTTTCTCATAATTAATTACTGGAATTAAAAAAATCCCAAGCCGCTAGGGAAGAAATCTCATTGCTATTCCTTGCTTTGGCAAACCTCCTTGGATTTCTTTCCATCTATCCTCTGGGCTTTGAGTCAAGTAACTGAAATCTTGGCTAAGACGGAGGTATGTTAATTTGGGATCCTGACCCTTTTGAAAGCAAAGAGAAGAGAATGTTATACTACGTGCTCTGCATTTCTCAAGTCAGCCCATGACATGCGATGGTTTTCAGTTTCTTCCGTTCTACTTGGTTGTTTGGTCTAAAAGGAACCCAGGAGTATTTAAAACAAGCTATCCAACCAAGGCATTTAAAATCTTCACAAGGACTAAATTCCCAGAGGCAGCTTAGCCAGCTTTTCCATCCACTACAACAGCTACTCCTAGGAGACAATAGGAGCCATCGTCCGAGACCTGGCCATCATGCATCCATCTAGAAAACGCCCCAGAGACTCAGCAGACAGTGATAAACAAGATGATGAGAATCTGGAGAGTCTGGTGGCAGCAGTCAGCCTAAGGTCTGTACCCTTCTACTGCCCCACTCCCAGACTCAACTAGACATGGTTCAAAACCAGTGCTAACTAGTTGTCAACATTCTCCTCACTTAGGTGCTAATGGATTTTTTTTTTAATTTCCTTGGTAAAGTAGCATAAATCCTGTCTAAACAGCAAGCAAAAGGCTATATTTTTATAAGTACCTTACATGGCTAAAGGTTTGACCAGGACCCTTAGGAATTTTCTGGGCAATAACACAGGGCAGAGGTCAGTTGCCAGGAAGTGTGGCCAGAGTTGGCTCTTTTCTGGAAAAAAGAAAGCCTAAATGGTCTGGCCACTCATGTGTCTCATGAGGAAGACTCTCTTTGTGGACTTCAGATCTCAAACAGACTCACAAGTAACCACTACACAGGACTATGTATATAAATCAGGATTCCAATAGATGCCCAACACCCCTGTGTTTCTAGTTGTCCTGAGTCATCACCATGCTGATAAGATTACAGTCAGAATTATATAACCAGAATTTGTGCCCATAAAACAAACAGGTACACTGATGTTTCCTAGAGGGTAAACCTAATTTATTTTTTTCTTTTATGCTGAATCTTAACTTTCTTTTGGTTTCTCCGTGTAGTTCTGGGCTGTCCTGGAACTCACTCTGTAAACCAGGCTGACTACAACTCAGAGATCCACCTGCCTCTGACTCCTGAGTGCTGGGATTAAAGATTTATACCATCACTGCCTGGCGGAAACATTAATTTACTATTACGTTTCCTTTTCTTTTTATTTTTCCCTCACTATGTAGATCAAGTTGGCCTTGAACTCACAGAGATTCTCCTGCTTCTGCCTCCCAATCACTGTAATTAAAGTCTGCACAACTACACCTAGCATGAATCTTAACTTTCTTTGTTCATATCTTTTAAAGATTTTTTTTTATTTTTATTTTTTTGATTTTTCGAGACAGGGTTTCTCTGTGTAGCTTTGCGCCTTTCCTGGATCTCGCTTTGGAGACCAGGCTGGCCTCGAACTCACAGAGATTCACCTGCCTCTGCCTCCCAAGTGCTGGGATTAAAGGCATGCACCACCACCGCCTGGCCTTTTAAAAATTTTAAAACAAAAGATATTAGAGCCAAAATCAGCCAGAGTTTCTCAACACCTACAGAAAGTGGATCCAAATTCTTCCACAAGGTTCAATTCTGCCTAACTTCTTTCTCACCCGTTCCTTTCTGTGACCTTCACACACCATCTCTGCAGACACCCTGAGCTGAACACTCCACATGGCAGTCCTGTCCTTCCTCACATAGCCTCTAGTCACAAAGTGCCCCCAAACACTGCTCTATAATACCAAAGTTCATTTCTCCTACTGTGTCTAATTCAAGGGCCACCTCTCTAGGCACTTCCTAGTGTCTCTGCTGAGTTCCCACAGGGTGGGCACTACATACAGAAAGAATATGAGCTTTTGAGTCCAACATCATACACATCTCTATTCTATCACAATAGTTAGGCCTGAACAATGCAAGGCAATATAATTAACCACGGAAGACCTGGGGCTCTGGGTGAATGAATGCCATGAGCTCTAATCTCAATTTTAACAAAAGCCTGACCTTTCTTGGGTGAGTTGGACAGAGCAGAAACACCGGGAACCTCAGCTTTCTCCTCACTGACCTGTGAAAAGCTGCATCTATTTCACAGCAAAAGAACGAACAGAGGGTAAACAAATTCCCGGACGGAAGGTAACAAAAAAGCCACACTTCTCTTACGCACACTACCAATTGATCAAATGACTGCGAAGAGCTAGGGATCAAATTATCTTGGGCTCTTAGTTCACTGGACAGTCAACTCTTGACTACCCCAGTGTTCGACCTAACATTCTTATGACTATTAGGTAAACCCTTTTGGAATGTAATAACAGACCCCCAGCTTCCATCAACCTAAAGCCTAAGAATGTTATCTGATAGAATCTGAGACTGGCCAGCTTGCTGTTTCCACCCACACAAATGAAAAGAGCCTACATGAAACTCTTACTACATCAGAGCATGGTGTTTGGGGTGACCTAAATCTGTGTCCCCAGGCCACGGTCACTCATATTTGGCTCCAGAATAAACTCTGTCTTATTCCCTTTCAGGTGAGGCTTGTATTTTCACACTGAAGAAGCAGTTAGTGCATGTCATTCGGGGCTGACTCCCTCGCCCCAGGCCTCCCACTCACAGCTCTCCTCTCCGATACAAGTCTCAGGGCTCAGTGAGGTGAGCCCCAATGGTTAGCCCCTCCCCTGAGGTCACCTGCACAGCCTGGGCAGACATTCTGCAAGACTCCCTGACAAATAAAAGCCAGAGAAGTTCTGAGGCTAAAAACAAAGGAGTTGTAAAGTGTTGCTTACTCTAGAAGATTCCATTCAAATAACAATGGCTAATCTGCGAATGCCGCCTTCCTCCTCCGTGGGAAGGTCACTCAGTGACCCCGGCTCACTAGTGCAGCTCTCACCCTTCACCACACATTTCCCTTTCATGTTGTCATGCTCTCACACTGGCTACAAGAGCAGAGTTGAGAACCACTGCTCTAAGGGGACAGGTCCTGTGTGCTCTAAAGGGGACAGGTCCTTTCTGTCCAACCCTCCCTCAGCTCCCCTCCCAGGTAACGGGAATCATCCAGATCACAAGGTAACTCAGAATCCTGTGGTCCCTCTGCTAACTGGCTGTCACCTCTAAGCCCCCACAGCTAAGTTTGAACAGAGCTAGACAGATGCTCATATCTGAGCCTGGAATTCAACGTCAGCTCAAATAAGGATTTTACCTTTTTAAAAAAAAAAAAATCAATAAACACAAAAATCAGAAATGACAGAACAGGCTCCCATCAAGCTCTGGAATGCCCGGGAGTCATCCATTTTCTCTCCTGAAGCCAAACACTTTTCTCAGGAAATCAGTGTTTCACGTTCATTTCTCATGATTTGTCATAAAAATAACCTAGCTTACATCAAGGGAGTGTATGAAATTACTCATCAGATTAACCCAATGAAAAAATGGTGACAATTTCCCGCCCCCAGAAGGGTTTCTCTGTGCCCTAGACTTGCTCTATAGATCAGGCTGGCCTCAAACTCAAGAGACCTGCCTCTGCTTCCCTAGCACTGGGATTAAAGGTGTGCACCACCACACTCAATTCTCTATAAAGTATATTTTAATTTCATTAATTTCACTGCCCAATATGAGTATCAACTTATTAAAATGTCCATTTTCCACCTTGACATTTCCGAAATCCAGAATGAGAAAGGAATACCCTACCTGTCTTTGTATGGGTGGTGGTGGTGAAGGGAGAAAGGTCATGACCCTGGATTAACCACTGGGTCCTCCTCACCTGTCTGTGGCACATTCCTGGACAGCACAGAGAGACAGGCTATGTGACTTCAGCAAAGCTTCAGAAGCCAACTGCTAACACAACTGGGGCACATCAACCCTCTGAACCCCTCCTCCTGGAAGTCTTCTGGTGAGGACCACCCAACCCTCAAGACTCCAAGGACTCCAGGAAAGGCTGCCCCCAGTCAAATCCAAGAACAGCAGGTAGGGAAGCCAGAGGCGGAAGACAAATAAAACCTGCTCCCTGAAGATTTCTGGGTCAGTTCCAAGAACTTCCCTTCTCCCTCTGCCAGCAGCACCCATCAATTCCCATAGCAACCAGCCCACAGCTTTCCAACTTGTCCAAGAGGGAGGTGCGCGAGCTGCAGCAGAAGCACAGGGGAGAAGGCTGGAAACCAGGGCAGTAACCTCGGCGGGCGACACACTAGGTGCTCGCTGTCTCCCACTTCCCACACTACCAGACTGCGCTGACCCCTGACCCTTCAGCCAGGTGCTGAGACAAAAAGGCGACTGTTTTCCAGTGTGGTTTTAGATCTGTCTGTGTGGTACTAAAGCAATCCTCTCTCCCCCAGCACATGGTGAGTGGATGTGCTCAATGAGGAAGCCTCCAGAACCGACACTGAGATGGTGGCGACCTGGAGTTACAATCTGAGAACACAGGGAGGTGAGGAAAGCTTGCTGAGGTGTCTGTTGGAGGTGGGGAGGTGGAGTCTCGTGAAGAAAGGCCTCCAGAACAGGATGAGAAGGACTGCAGGGGACCACAGTACTTCTGTCCCCAGTACCTCCTCGAGAACACGACAATCAGGAGCACGCCTCAGTATGGTGACTTTCAGTGAGAGCAGAGAGTTGTCAGAACCAGGGGATACACTAGTGATAATTTAAGTGCCGTGGGGCTGGGGATATATGGTCAGTGATTTAGCGCTTAACCTCTGATGCAAGATACCAGATTCCATCCTCAACACCACAAAAACAAACAAAAGAATAAAGGGGGTTGAGAGGAAAAAGAGTAACTAATGTTTAATGAATCCAATGTTTATCTGAAGAGTTTCAAACATGGACTATAAAGCAATCTACAAAGCTTCATACCTTCTTAAAGAATGTGAACGCTAACAGGCAAGGAGACAATGAGCAGAGTGGGAGATGGCACAATGTCACTGCCCGCCGGGTCTAGGCAAGACTACAGGAGACTCAGTGGCCCCACCAAGAGTTCCGGCCCACGCTCCTGCACACTTCACAGTGCAATCATGATATCCCCAAGTGATTTTCCCGAGGACCTCAGAGCACTGCAGTGGGGAATGGCCAACTTTCACCTGAGGCACACCTAAAGATGGTTACCCAATGCATGATCATAAAGACCCTAACAGGCTGGGCAGTAGTGGCACACGCTTTTAATCGCAGCACTCGGGAGGCAGAGGCAGGCGGATCTCTGTGAGTTCCAGGCCAGCCTGGTCTACAGAGTGAGTTCCAGGACAGGCTCCAAAACTACACAGAGAAATCCAATCCTGTCTCAAAAAAACAAACAAAAAAAAAAGAGAGACCCTAAAAGATGACTTCACATTACCCACAGAACAGGGAAATGGAAGGAAAGATGTGAAGACAGGAAGGCTTGTCACGACAGGAAGTCTGCTTCAGAGTAACTACCTCTATGAGATCAGTAACTCTTCCTAAACTTTAAAAAAATAAATAACACAGAGAAGATGAAGTACCTGATGCATAAGAAACAGTTGTCTAGGAGATCAAAACTACTAAAAGAAATCTAAATTCCCATGTAAATTTGCCACAATTCTAATAAGACTAAGAGGATATTCTCAGAGAATACTCAAAAGCTAAGTCTACAGCTTCTATGGGAAAATACTGGAGAATAACTGGGCTAACTATGGAAAAGAAGATTAATGAGAGGCTAGCCTTAACATCTGCCAGATAGTGAAAGAGGGGTGAACCCCCAATAATTACAACACTGTGAAACTGGTTCCTGAGCAGGCCATCAATCAATGGATACCCCAAAACTTCTGAAACACTTGAGGGGATTCCATGTAGAATAAACTGTGACACGTAAAACCAGTGTAGGAAGAGAAATGTCTCAACAACAGCGATGGCACAGCCAGATAATCAGAGGAAAAAACCAAGGGATGGCCACTCGGCCACACAAAACACAGTCACAAGAATGCCTACAATCAACAGAAACATCCAGTCTTCAAAGAAAGCAAGAGGCGTTTTTCATAATCTTGAAGAGCCCACATTTCTTCTAATAGGACATAAAACCTAGTAACAAGGGAGTTGATGAACTTGAAAAGCTGTACAGATGGCAAAAGTTACCCTAAATGGCAAAATATAAACCCAGGGGAAGAAGTTGTTTTTTTTATTTAAGAGCCCATCTGGACAGAAGAACAGGCAGAGGACAAGAGTCAATCCACACACTGGGAAGTCACTGCTAAGCACTTGGAAGTCTGTTTGTGTGCGGCCTGAGAAACGGACAGGAAAACGGCAGTGAGACCCACTTTATACCTGGGAAGTGGACAAAGATGGCCAAGCTAAGACAAGCTGGGCATGGCAGAGTGTTCCTGTAATTCTAGGCACTGCGTCATCCTCAGCTGCATATCATGTTCAGGACTGAGATACGTTTTAAAGAACAAACACTGTGTATTAAATTAAAACGGGTAAGATTGCATACCTCTTTAGACTACTCGGGAAGGTGACCTGGGATAGTGAGGTAAGCCTGGTAACACACTGAAACTTCATTCCTCACAAAGTGAAATGCAAGCCAAATAGTGCACTGCTGTCCAGAGGGAAGAAAGATGGATATGCTGCTGAGAAGACACATTTGTGTAATTTATTTGGGGGCAAGTGTTAATACTTGAAACAGGCTCTAACAATAATAGTCTTTAAACCAGAAATCCCTCTAGACAAATTGTGTACTTTCAAGTCAAGGTTAGCCACTGTGTATTTTCAATTGCTATAACAAAATGCCTGAGAGCGGGTAATGTACTAAGAATGAAGTTTTGACATTGCAAGTCCTAGACTAGGTGGCCTATCCAGTTTGACCTCTGGTAAGGGCCTTCTGGCCACTTCACAACATAGTAGCTAGTGTGAGGGCACCATGGTGGGAACATATAAAAGAGAAAAATAAAATGAGATTAGGGACCAGTGTCACATACGTAGTTGCTGGTGCTTGTGAGAATGGACTCCCTCAGAAGACACACTCTAATCCCTTCTGAGGGTAGTTCTGTGGTGACATAATTACCTCACAACACCCTACCTCTTACATGTTTCAGCACCTCAGTATGCCACATTGGGAGCCAAGCATCTAGCACGTCCCCCCTTCTTTTTTTTATGGAGGCGGGGGGGTGGGGGGCTCTCAAAACTCATCCAAATCCTCGCAGCTGCTGTAGCACTGTTAATGCCTAAAGCCTATCACTGAGACACTGAATGATAAGGAAGCCTTCAGCTAGAACGGAAGCAGTATGCTGTGCTTCCATTTACATAAGAGCTACAATTTCATACATAAATATAAATGCCATGTGGTAGCTGAGTAAATCTTGGAAAAAGAATGTTATCAGAAAAACGACTAAAATCCCAGGCACATCTATATAGTGCTCCTTTACCACACAGCCGGGCCTCATAGCCTCTAAATACCACTAATGAGAAACCCCGAAAGTCTATGTGTTGTATTTTGTCAATTTTCAAATCCTCACCTCACTGCACCTGCCTCATCTTGTAGATTCCAAATGCTTCAAGAAAAGGGCTCTGCCAAGCTCAGCTCTGGGTGAGAGAGAAAGCCGTCTGTGCGCGAGTTCAACAAGTGAAAGCCAGGTAGAGAGTGGGCAGCGTGCTGACATTCAAGTCAAACATTCACGCTGTCAATTAAAATGTTTATGCTTAGTGATTGTCTATCGTGATAAAACACCATGACCCAGGCGACTTTAGAAGGGCTTATTTGGGGCTGAAGTTCCAGGGGGTAGGAGTCCACCATCACAGCAGGGAAGCTGGGTGGAGGGAGGCCCGGCAATG